CTTATATATCTCAACCGTACAATTGTGCATTACTGAACCCAGAAGTAGTATTACTGAACTCGTATGAGTAGCAGCGGGTGGGGGCTGGTCTCCCCCCACCTCCCTCTGCGTCATTATTTTTTATATTTAATACTACACCCTCGGAACCCCAGGGGCAGTTCTGAAGGGTGGCAGTGAGTAGGGATGGACCCGAGGGCAGCATCTGTGAGTTTCATGTCTGTGGCTGCGCGCTAAAGGAGGCAGGGTTTCTCTGCAGTGTCCACGCGACCCCGTCACCTTGTGGCTGTGCCGTTGAGCTGGCTCCGACTCACAGTGACCCGATGTCCACATACAGCAGAACGGAAGTCTGCCTGACCCTGAGCCATCGTGTGGTTGCGAGATGCCACTGAGTCATTCCGACCCATGGTGACCGTCTGCGCAGCAGAAGGAAACCCTGCCCGGCCCTGCGCCTGAGCCTGTGGCTGCAGCCCCTGCGTCCATCCACCTCCTTGGGAGCCTTCCTCTTCTTCCCTGCCCCTCCACCATGCCAGGCACGCTGTCCTTCTCCACTGACGGGTCGCTCCCGACAACACGGACTAAATGTCTCGATCCTTGGACGTGCTTCTCCCAAATATATTTGCCGGCTCTTTGGGCCGCTCTTGGTACTTGGACTATTCTCCTCCAGCCCCACCATTCCAACACCCCGATTCTTCCTCGGTCTTCCTGATTCCGTGGCCAGCTCTCAGCGGAGGCGAGTGACGAAGCCACGGCGTGTCATTCCCACCTCAGTCCACAAAGTAGTGTCCTTGCTTTTCCACGCTTTAAAGTGCTCCCTCATAGGGTATGTCCTAAACCTCAACTTCAGAGCCCATCCGAAGCAAGGGTCCTCCCCCAAGAGCCCGGAAAGAGCATGTCTTCCCCTAGAGCTGGTGCCCTGAATGGAGACTTCTAGGCCTGGTCCTTTGAGAAAATAAACATCTGTTGTTTAAAATCACCCACGTAAGGTATTTTGGCCGCAGCAGTGCTGGGAAACCAGAGATAAGCAGTAGTGAGCCATTTAGAAGAGAGCACTGCGCTCCGGTTTGTGAGGCGAACAGAGGGCTGAGAGAGGCGCCTGGGGGGAACTTTGGGGGAGCTGAGGTGGGGCCATTTCCAGCCTGAAGCCTTCTCTCTGGAGAAGCTCATGCCCGGCATGCCCTGTGCTCCCTCACAGCTGTAGGACAACTGAGGCCCAGCCTGGTGTCCTTTCTTTTCTCCAAACGCTGGCCTTTCCTAGCCATGCTGGCTCCCAGGCAGCAGGAGGAAGAGGGGTGCAGGCCCTCAGAGACACAGCCTCAGTTGGCGCTTTTACACCAGGGACTCCTGCCAAGGGCCCATATGGTCTCTGCTGGATGCTGCCGGGTTTGGGGTGGATCCCAAGCCCTGGAGAGGGCGGCAGGAGGGAGAGGTTTCCTTTTTGACCCTGGGACGCACCCAGCAGGCCCATGCTGGTATCTTAGCTTGCAGAACTGCAGCTGTGGCTCATGGCTGTAAAACTATTCGGTCCCTTCTGGTCCAGCCCCGGCCCTCAGCTTGCTGGGCTCCTGGCGGTGATTAAGAAGGAAGGGTGGGAGCTGAGAATCATCTCCCCTCCCTTAGAACCTGCCAAGTTGGCTCTGAGCCTGCAGGAAGATTCCGGCCAGAAAATACACGTGCCCACACCCTTCCTCAGACGCCCTTCCTCGAGCTGTAATGTTATCTGGTCCCCCAACGCGTCCACAAGTGCCAAATCCACGTGGACCCTGGACTTAGGGTGGGTGGCCCTGGGGAGGCTTGTGGGTGATCAAGTCCGGCTGCGAGCTTCGGGCTGGAAACAAATGGCTCTGGGAATGGCCCTGGGCTCCCGGGTGTCGTAGTGGTGATGGGGGACCACTGTCGCTCCCCAGAAGAAAGATGGGGCTCTCTACTTCCGCTGAGAGTGACCGTCACGGAAACCCACAGGGGCAGCTCTACCCTGTCCTCCAGGGTCACTGAGTCAGCATGGACTCGATAGCTGTGGGTTTGGTTTGCTACGTTGGGGGAGGGCTGTTTTCATGGTTTCTAGGAAGGTGGATCTTTCTTAGACCACAGAGAGAGAGAGAGAGAGAGAGAGAGAGAAGGGGACTTTTGAAGTAAGATCCTGAGATCCACAGGTGTTTGTTTTTTAAACCTGAAACCTGAAACCAGGTTTGTTGGCTCATTCCCGCCTGGTTCCTACTGAGAATCTGCCTTTCCTGCGGGACCCTGGGACTTGGAGTGCGTGTGTGAGGACTAGCTTCCTGCACGGTACTTGTGTCTGTGGGTTTGGAAGGCATCTGCAGGAATCACGTGGGGTTCCCACCTTCCTCAACTGTAGGTTCCCGGTCAGTCAGCTTGGGGCGGGAGGGCAGCAGGTTGGAACAGGACTGGCTGGAGGCCCTGGTGGAACGTGACTTAGAACGCCGTTTGGAAACTCAGAGCACCTGGATGATAGGGGCTGCAAGCGAAGGTGGGTGCTTATCTTCCTGTGGTGAGAGTTTGAGAGACTGGCCTCCACTGGGCATGAGCAAGGAGCCCTGGTGGCGGAGTGGGTGGCTTACCAGGCTGTTAACTGCAAGGTCAGCAGTTTGAACCCACTGGACCCGAGCAAACCTAAAGGAAGTGCCCTTGTAGCACGTGCCTTTCCCTCTTGCCCTGTCATCCTGTGTTCCCGTCACCAGGCTGCCCTCACGGGACCAGGCCCATGTCCGTGGCTGCACCCGTAACCCCCGAGGTTGGGACCATCAGCTTTCCTCTTGGGGGTGTGACATGTGGGGATGAAAGAATGCAGACAGACCTCTGCAGGCCCGTGTCTGGGCCCAGCTTGTCCATCCCCCAGCATGCTTTGCTATCTCCCCGTCTCCCCAAGCAGCACAGTGTGCAGGGAGACAGCATGGTGTCTCCAGAGGAAGTGGCCCCCGAGGAACCCAAAGCAGAGCCCTTGACCTCTGGGGGCCTGGCCATTTTCTGAATTTCATCTATCCGCGGCAGCCTGTGTGCGTCTTGTGCTGGCTGTTCTCCGGCTGCCGTGAGCTTGGGAGATGCAGGCAGGTGTTTCTCGGCAGGGACTCGCTCATCGGACGCTGTTTGACGGGAGATGAGACTTTCTACTCCCGTAAAGATTGAGTCCTGGGACCCCGGGGGCAGTAAATCCGCCCTGGCCTACAGGGTCACTGTGAGTCAGAGTGGACTGGATCGCGGCACGTCTTCGCTTTGCTTTGCTGTGGTTTAGACCCTCCATCCCGTGTTCTTTGTCCGTTCGGCTTTGGTGGACAACGGGGTGGGCCTGGTTGTCATGACCACTGACGTGAGCTCGCAGGCTGGCCCCCCAGGAAGTACTTCCGAGTGAAGTCTGCTTGCAGGGGGGACCCCTTCCTGCTTCCCAGACCAAAGTAGCCTTCCAGACCCCAATGCCAGGGGGAGGGGAGACGGGAGGTCGGACCTACGGGGACTCCTGGGCACAGGTGCCCTGCGAAGACATGGTGAATAGTTGTTGGGCGCCGTCCTCAGGCGGACTTCGCGCTCTACACGTGGGACTGTATCCCACACCATGAAATGGAATGTCGGCGGGAGGCGGGGATGGACCGATGAGGTTGTGAGCGTCAACCTCACGTGGTCCACGCTGTGGGGAAAGGGAACACCACGCGCCGCTGGGGTGCACAGTGTAGCGTTCTTGACGTCCCGAGAACCCTGGGCACTGCCCAGGAAGCCCTGAGGTCGGACGGCGGCCTGCACGGCGCCTCCACGGCTCCGTCTGCGAGGAGGAAGGGGAGCGGAGGAGGGTGCGCTGACTTGTCTTGCCTTCTCTTTTGCAGGGTGGCCAAGTCCATGAAGGTCCCTGTGTACGAGACCCCGGCGGGGTGGAGGTTCTTCTCGAATCTCATGGACTCTGGGCGCTGCTCTCTGTGTGGAGAAGAGAGCTTTGGCACCGGTAGGCTTCCTGGGAGGGGGTATTAGGAGGAAGGGTGGTGGGGCCAGGCCACTGGGCTCTGCGAGCATGGGTTGGGGATCTGTGGACCTTCGTGAATCAAAGGCTGAGGGGACAGTCAGAGGCCCATAGCCAGAGAAACCTACTGGGAATTCGCTATGATCTGCAGATCTCTTTTGCCTGTTACTTTGTCTTTTGTATTTTCTTTCCTTCCTTCTCTTCCTCCCTCCCTGCTTCCCGCTCTTTCCTTCACTCTGGGAAGGTTCAACGTGGCATCACTAGAGAGAATCCCGTGTTGAATGCACACGGGCCCATCAACCGGTGTCGGCCATCATCCACTCTGAGCCCATTGACTGCCTTCCCCTTCAACAGTGGATTGCTTTTGCTTACTTTGGGGCTCTTGTCATAGCTTTCAATCAAATGCAGGACAAGGCGTAGATAAGCCCCCACTGTCTTGGAGTCTACCCTGACAACCCCACAGGACAGGGTGGAACTGCCTCTGTGGGTTTCTGAGGCTGTAGATCTTTACAGGAGCAGACAGCCTCTTCTGTCTCCCAAGGAGCAGCTGGTTGAATTCGAACTGTTGGCCCTGCGGTTAGCAGCCCATCTGGTAACCAGGACCCTCCAGGGCTCCCATCGAATGCCGAGTCAAGGTTACTGTCCCGCCCCATTCTACCCAACAGCCCAGGGCTTGGCCCCGCCCAGGGCCAATACCAGTAGGGGCTATTTTCTCAACAGCACCCTGAGCCCCTCCCCAGAGCCAGTCTCGGCCTGCCCACAGCTCTCAGGCCACGCAGAGAAGTGCGTCCTTTGGCCAGAGGGAAGGGAGGGAGGAAGGAGGCCTTTGCCACAAGCCATGCTCCTCGCGGGGAGGGCCCGGCGCGGAAACCTTAGGTCCAGGGACACCCACTCACAGTGACACTCAACACCCGCGGGCTGGGAACTGGGCAGCCCGAAATACTTCCTCCCCTGCTGCCCACACCAAGCTGTGGTGGCAGCGGGCCAGCCGGGGCTGCACGCCAGGGTCACTGGGGACTGGTAAGGAGCCTGGGACACCGCGGTGAGGTGCTCAGCCATCGAGCATAGGGCCAGCAGTGTGGACATTCCAGCGGCCCCACAGGGCAAGGCCCCCGGCAGTCGGTCTCACGGGATGACCACCCAGAGACCTGTGCTTCCCTCTGGGGCTGCACTTCCGCTGGGCCACTGTGAGTCAGAGCAGACCCACCTCTGCGAGGACCAGCTCTGGGCCCTGGTCTTCACATGCTCCCCCCAGAGGGCTGCCCTCATCCGACTCCAAGGGCACCCCGTAGCCAGGAGGGTTTTATCGCTCCTCCTCCTTTTTACGGGAGCAAACCTGGATTCCTTCAAGTGTTGGACCTCAGAGATATCACCAGACAGCCACTGAGATGCACGCTTTACTTCTGGCTCAATCTGAGACATCACAGTGTGCTCTTCTGTCCTCTGGACGGCCGCCTGTCTACGAGGCCCTACCCAGGAAGGCTGAGTCCTGCTGTCCGACTGGGGCTCTGCGGAGGAGAGAGGCCGCACACGGCGTCCCTCCCCAGCCCCTGCCCAGCCGGGTGCTCAGGACACCGGCAGCAGCACCACCGGGAATTTCCGGAGCCCATCCTCCTCCTGGCCCTGGCCCTGGGCCGAGGCATGGCACTCTTGAGCCAGAGGTAGAGCCGTGTTTTCATGCCACCCTGGCACCAAGCTCTGCATTCCTGGTGGGCGCAGGGCTCTGTGCCCTCAGGGCTCCCGAAAGGTCCCCACTTGGGGGGCAGGGGGTGGGCTTGAAGGTTAGAAGGTTCTCTCTAGGCCCTGGGCCAATGCAGCTCAGGAATCCATTCTGATGCATGGTGACCCTGGGGTCAGAGAGCAGCCCTCCAAAGGATTCGCCAGCTCTGGAAGTGGATCCCCAGCCCTTTCTTCCGACCCTCAACCTGTGGGTTGTGGGGGTCGAACAACCCTTTCACAGGGGTTTCCTGATTCATTACGGTAGCAAAATTGCAGTGAGGAAGTAGCAATGACAATAATTTTATGGTTGGGGGTCACCACAACATGAGGAACTGTATTAAAGGGTCGTGGAGTGAGGAAGGTGGAGAACCCCTGCTCTGGGTGGACTTGATGTTCCAACTGCTCGGTTAGCACTCTGGCTCGTGAGCGTTGGGGCCACGCAGGGGCTCCACACTCCAGACTAGAACCTTCCCTCTCTCCACTCCCCACCCACAAACAAGTGTGTTGGACGCTGAAAACCATCCCCCACAAAGGGAGGGGTCTACTCTGGCCAGCTGACTTCTGCAGGCGGAAACTCGCAGTCCAGCAGGCTCAGTGGCCTATCCGTAGATGGGGAGGGAGGACCTTGAAGGACCTGGGTGAACAGCCTCCTGTCCTGTCACCTCTACCCCACCCTGAGGGCGGCACCTCAGACATACGCCCGTCACCGTGCCTGGTGACACAACACCCAAGCTGGCTTTTTCTAGATCTGTGGGGCCCTGGCGGGATAGTGGTTATGCTTTGGGCTGCGATCCGCATTCTCGACAGTGGAAGCCACCAGCCACTGCATGGGAAGAAGGCAGTTACAGGTACAGTCCCACTGCGTTGACTCGATGGTGGTGGGTTGTGGGTGGCCATTCCGAAGGAGCCCTCATGGTGTAGTAGGGCCGCTACCTGCCAGGTTGGCAGAGTTCAGACCCACCAAACAGTTGCTCCTCCAGAGAAAGCTGAGGCTGTCTGCTCCTGACCATACCTGTCCTAGAGGTCACTGTGACCTGGGGTGGACTTGATGGCAGTGGGTTTGAGGAGTGCCCGGCTGGGGCGAATGGTTCTCCTGCTTGCCTTTGAAGCAAAGATTGCTGGTGCAACTCCACCTAGAGGCACTGTGTAAGAAAGGCCTGGCTGTCTGCTTCCGGAAAGGGAAAACCAGCTTTTGAAAGCTGAATCGAGCGCAGCCTTGCTGAGATTCTCCTCGGATCACCGGCCCAAGTAAAGAACACCCATGCACTCAGAGAAGGAGCCGCAGAAGGCTGGGCGGCTGGCGTCATTCTGTGAGACTGTGGTGCTGTGGCACATGGGGTCCCCGGCACTCGGCACACTGGGCAGCACCCGGCTTGATGCTTCCTGTTCCAGATGCGGCTCAGGATGGCTGGAGAAGCAGCGTCTCTTCCCCAGACTCTCCACCGGGGGCTGAGCTGGGGGGGCTTGCTCCGTGGGGCTGTTGAGGGGCCGTCTAGAGAAACACATGATGTGACACTGGTACATACAGAGTTGAAGTTGGGCTCTTGCCTAGGAGCACGGGTGGACCAAGCTGGCAACCCCTCCCATACAAACTCAGCATCGGTAGAGCTGGCTGTCAATCTTTCCGGGAGCAGACAGCCTCCTTGTTCTCCCAAGGTACAGTTGGTGGATTCGAACTGCTGGCCTTGCAGTTAGCAGCCCAGCTCATAACTCACTACCTGTGTTCTTTCATAAAGTTGATTTAAAAACAAAACTAAATTCATTGCCATTGAGTTGATTCTGACTCGTGGCGACCCTGCAGGACAGGGTAGAACTGCCCCTGTGGGCTTCCAAGACTGTGACTCCTTCCAGGGTAGTAAACCTCATCTTTCTCCCGAGGAGAGACTGGTGGTTTTGAACTCCAGACCTTTCAGTCAGCAGCCCAACAATCACCACCAGGGCTCTTTATGAAGTTGATTACGCTTGCAATGTATAGGTCACGTGGCTTCCTGAGTGTGTCTTTAGGGATGTCCAGTTCAGATGGAATGAGTGCTGAGGAAGGAGCCTTCTGTAGCCTGACTTTAGTGCAAGAAAGGGGCCTTGGTGGTGTCGTGGTTACCGGCTGGGCTGCTCACCTCAAGGTCAATGGTTTGAAACCACCAGCCACTCAGGGAGAAAAACTAGGCCTATTCCTGTCAGAGTTAGTGTGTTGGAAACCCGCAGGGGCAGTTCTACTCTGTGCTCATCCGGGCGCCCCGCTCAGCCCCGTCTCAAGGAGCAACAAAAGGCAGTCAATGCTAGCCTTACCCGCTCGTAGGTCGAATATGAGCCTTGGCCAACAGTGGGCCTGTAAGGTGGGGTTTCCTCCTCCCATAAAGAGTTCCAGTCAGCTCTACCCTGTCCTACAGGGTCCCTGAGAGTCGGCATTGACTCCACGCCGTGAGTTTGGTTTTGGGAGCTCGCACTTCACCGTGCAGTTGGCTACAAAAGTGGAGGCGAGCGTCTGTCCTTCCTTTGGACCCAGCCGAAAGAACACTCCGTCCTTCTGTCTGGAAATGTCCTTCTGTCCTTATCTCCCAGATGTCAGGGGTCTGAGGGGTCTGTCTCCTGGCCAAGTCACTCAGCAGGATGCCAACCCACGGGAAAGTCCGTAATCTGCAAAAGGATCTTTCTTCCCCCCCACTCCCAGCTGTAAAAGGACAAAGGTTTGAAAGTCTCTCTCTGGGTGGAGTTTCCTCCACTTGGGCTGGCTCTGGGCCACGAGGGGCAGCGGCCTCTTCAGAGTCCATCCATTTCGGCGCAGTGCTGGGGTTCGCTGGACGAGCCTGGAGCCATCACCATGTGTGAAGCCCAGGGGGGTCGGGGGATGGCTGGACCCTGTGGCCGCTGTCCCTCCGGATCCAAGTGTTCTATCGAGGGAAAGCTGAGAACAGAACCCGGGTTCCCTTTAAGTTCCTGCAGGGCCCCAGGGGGTCGGGTTTGCCTAATGAGGGGAAAGTGGGTGACATTCGATCCCGTGAATGGAGCAAGGGTGACAGTGGGCTCCCTTTGGCCGAGGTCCCTTCCATTCCCAGTCAGCTACTTGCGTGGTTGCCAACGCTTAGCGATTACAGCCAGGACTCAGCTGCCCACCTGAAGGTGGGGCGTGGCTTCTGGGGAGGAAGTGTCAGCCATGTGCTTCCGAAACAGGACAGCCAGGAAACGCCCCCCTGGGGAGATTCTGCTCTGTCACCCAGGGCCACTGGAAGTCACAGTCTACTCAAGGGTCTCCCACCCCCTGACCTCCCGCCCCACGTCCCTCTGAAACAGCAGTTCTCAACCTGCGGGTCCCAACCCCTTTGGGGGTTGAACGACCCTTTCACAGGGGTTGCCCAATTCATAACAGTAGCAACATTACATTGATGAGTAGCAACGAAAAGAATTTGATGGTTGGGGGGCACCACCACATGAGGGACTGTACGCAAGGGTCGCGGCATGAGCAAGGTTGAGAACCACCGCGCTGAAGACTCAGAGTCAGCGGCAAACCTCCGGAGAACAGCGTCACACAGGCGTTGAGTCCCGCTCAGCGAAGCTGTCCTTTAGAGCCAGAGACTTTCCGGAGGAGGCACGGGGCGGTCTCCACATGTGGAAGTGACCTAGGTGGCCCTCCAAACTCACGCCGCCAAGTCGGTTGTCACAGTGGCCCTCCTGCAGGACAGCAGAGCTGCCCGTGGGCTTCTGGGATGGTGACTCTTTTTTAAAATTATTATTGTTTAACAGTTTTATTGGCACGTCATCCACATAACATAGAACCCAGTAGTCCAATCATATCGAGAAGCGTGCCATCACCACCACAGTCAACGTTAGAACACACTCTTTTCCCTTGTACTCACTATTCGTGTGACGATTTAAATTGTGGCCAAAATATACAGAGCGAAACTTTCTCCTATTCCACAAGGCCTACATGTATATAATTCATTGCCATTGACTGGACTCTGTGTCACGCAGCCATTGCTGACAGCCTTTCCCACACTGTCCCACCACCCTGGACTTCAGCTCCAGGCCCCAGACAATGGCTCTTCCTCCTTCACCCATGGGAACCATTGGTCATGTTCGGGATCCTTTTTTCCTTTTAGTAGTTTCCTCGATCTATAACTCATACATCATTCACTTCCATAGTTTCACCGCTTTTAAAGGTAGTTCGGGGGTGATAATGGTTTTTTCCATTGTGCTTGGGGTTCGCGATGGGTCGGAACATACGCCATGGCACCGACAGCAGCCATCCTTGTGAGAGTAAGTAAATAGATAAGTCTTTCTCCCTGCTATCTGAAGGTGGATTAGAACGGCTGCCCTTTGCCACCAGGGCTCCTTATTGGCTAATGGACACACTCATCAATGGCTTCCAGCCCCTCCCTTCCTCTGCCCCATCCAGAGCTCCCCTCTCGGAGGACCGGCATGATCCGTGCAAACGCCACACCGAGGGGTTGGCTCTTTCTCTGTCAGCAGCTCTGAGATCCCACACCTGGGCTCGTTTCTGCCCCGGGGCCTTGGCATCTGTTGGCTCTCAGCTCGGGTACCTCTTCCCCAGATCATGTCTGCGTCACCCACGCGGCTGACGGGTGGTGTTGCCGCTCAGGTGTGTCTCAAGGGAGGGCAATCCTGGTGGATGTTTATGTCTCTTTCTCGGGGGTCTGTCCGCCCCCAATGCTCCCGGGCGCGAATTCGAGCTGTTTGAGTAAGAGAGTGTGCACACAGCTGTGTCACTGGTACCCAGGCTAGTGCTCAGCATGGCACAAGGGCTCAGAACGGGTTCTGTTCCTGGCCGGGGCACCTCATGAGCAGCCACCACCCATCTGCCAGTGGAGGCCTGTTGCCATGCCACTGTAGTTTTCAGCAGAGCTTCCAGATGGAGACAGACTGGGAAGAAAGGCCTGGCTGTCTTCCCAGCATCGCCAGGAAAACCCTCTGGGTCTCAACAGGCTGATCTGCAGCTGGTCACAGGGACGGCGCGCAATCAAGCAGCCTTCTGGTCCATCGTACGTGGGATCCGCATGAATTGCCGGCCGATTTGGCGGCTGCCAGCCACACTAAGAACAACTGTGGCATAATCAGCGGAAGGAGTGAATGACACCATTGGACAGACGCAGTGTCAACTCGGCTCATTGACCCCATCGTGTTTTCAGGATCGAAATCTGTCTGTGCTCCTTTATTTGACTCCCAATCGTCTACGTCTCTGGGAACGCAAACATATCCCGAGGGCGTCTGCCTCACACAGTGGGTGAGGGTCTCCCACCACGTCAGCGCAGTGCTCCAGGTGAAAGACACCGGAGGCCCTCCCTTTGCAGATAACAGAACTCGCACCTCCGGGTGTGTTTGCATTTCCATAAGCTCTGCTGTGCCCTTGTTTCCAGGTACATGCTGCCTTACAGAAAATTTAGGGTGGCACAGTTATGCAAACGCCTCCGTGGGAGAGTGTGGGGCGCACAGATGTGCTGGTGACATCATCGGTGTCACTCTGGGACTTAAAAGCCTGAAGAGTGAAGGGGTGGAGTCTCGTCTGTCAGTCGGGTCACAGCCAATGAGCCTCTGTGTGGGCGTGGCCTTCTCCTGAGAATTCTGGGAATTCCTGTATTTCCCTCCTTGGAGGAGAGATACACTCTCTCTGCTCACTCCCTTGGATACTCTCTGCGGGCAGCACTCAAGACTCCCTCCCTAGAGACCCTCTACTGACAAGACACATGGCACTGTGCTGGTAGACCCCGTGCCCTGGGAACTGGAGGAGCCAGGTGGAGACCCCTGCCAGCGCTGAGATGCTTCTACCGCCACTGGATCCTTAAGACTCTGCACCCACTGGCCTGTGATCATTCTGCATTTGACATCATTACATTTGTTCCGTGAGTCCGAAGAGGACTTTATAGATTGGTATCGGACATATGGGCTAATATCAGAGTTATGGACTTGATCTGGACTGGGCTGGGATGTTTTCTCAGTGTTCAACTGCTCTTGTATATAAAGCTCTTTCTTGTACCCTTCTGAGTGTCTATGCATTTGTTTCTCTGGTCTACCCAGACTGACTCAGCAGACAGCTAGAGGTGAGTGCTATTTGCATAGCACTGTGGTCGCAATGCCCTAGCGGATAGCCATGCTGTCTCCTTCCTCGGGTTGGCTTTTACTTCCCCCGGGAACCAGCCTTCAGCTCGACTCTCTGTCCCCCAGGCTCTGACCACCTCCGGGAGAAGGACGGCCTCTGGGCTGTCCTGGTCTGGCTTTCCATCATCGCCGCCCGCAAGCAGAGCGTGGAGCAGATCGTCAGAGACCACTGGGCCAAGTTTGGCCGCCACTATTACTGCAGGTGAGGAGAGGGTCAGGCTCGCTGGTGGACCCCAGGGAAGGTGCTTACTTCCTGCAGCAGGTGGGTTAGACTCGTGGTGGGGGGGCGGGTTACGAGGGAGCAGTGGTGGCGTGGTGATTGAACTCTCACCTGCCAGGTGGGAGACCTGGGTTCGGTTCCTAGCCAGGGCACATCATGTGCGGCCACCTCCGTCTGTCTGTGGAGCTTCTGGAGAAGGTGTGGGTGCCGGGGTGGGCTGGGTGTGGATACTTAGCACCCAGCCCTGGCACGGGAGACAGGAGGCGCAAAAGATGTTAAAACCAAACCAAACTCACTGCCATTGAGTCAGTGCCGACTCACAGCAACCCCCTGTGGCGTGTTGAGACTGTCACTGTTTATGGGAACCCAAAGCCCAGTCTTTCTCCCGAGGAGTGTGGCTGGAGGCTTCAAACCGCCAACCATGTGGATCGCAGCCCAACTTGGAACCACTACACCAGCAGGAGAATGTGGAGGTGGAGGTGGAGG